TCTCTGCTATATGAGCCATTTTCCCTTTCGTTTTAGCATCAATCATCTCCCCTGATGTTGAACTCTCATATTGAGTTATTGAACATAACTCCATGATTCCAATGGCTGGGCTGGTTAACAAATTACCGCTTTAAAATTCTCTTTGCAGGCTGCTATCTAAACATAAACTCCGTAAACACGAATGAAAAATGTTATTAAAATATGTTTGGGGTAAAACTTAAAGTAAATTGGGATTTCTTTTTATCTGATGTGCATTTAGACCATCTATTATCAAATGTGAAGAAAACCAAAGAAAGATGGATAATCATTATTTAGAAGCAAAATAAACTGACTTAAGATAAAGATGCAAAGCAGAAAGAAGACAAAGATGGACTGTTTTCTTCACACTCTAAAATATCTACAATTCAGATGAAAACAAATGATGTCAAAACTCCAGATGTTGCAAATGACATCACACTTCCCCCAAAATCCTGAATAGGGTCTGTATCTGTCTTCATGGCAGAATGTACTGATTACTGTTCATAGTTTCAACTCATTCAGTCTGTGCGCTGATGTTTAATGCTAACTCTGACTATGTGATGTCATTTGTTTTAACCATGTCTTAAATAGAAACCATGTTATAGCTTATTTCTGTTTTACAAAAACCTGCCTTTTGTGCATTGAGGCATCAACTTCTTAAAGGCACTGTAAGTACAAGACAAAGGGGATTATATTTAACCTGCTTTAATATACTGAGTTTGTTTTAACTAACCAAATTATTTTATGTTCGCAAAGATTTATTTGTTTATCATCACTGTGACTCAATTGAATCGTCTTTCAGTTAGCCAAGTCTGATTTCATTGTGATTTCACTCTTTCCTTTAAAGGGTGTCTTCAGCTCAAAATGTCAGGTGGTAATTTTGTTCTATTAAAGCTTATTTAGAAGGTTACAGTCATAATTTTACCTGATACTTTGGCTGAGTCATTATTTAGTTTTTAATTTGCTTCTCTCTCTGCACTAATGCTTTGAACAGCAGACACACCTACCATAAATTACATTTTAAGTGACATTTTTATTATACATTGGAATGGAAAAAAAAAATTATGGCTGCCGTTTCTTTTGGATGTCATCCTATGTATTTCAGGCTGGTGTGTCTGGTATGTTTGGAAACTATGATCATTCACGTTCAACTCAAAAGAACCATTAGATGTTGTTTCCAATAAAACAAAATCACCACTAATGGACTAGCCAAGGGAGTGGAACTCAAATTGCTTTACATTAAAAATAACACAAAATTAAGGAATATAAGAATAGAGGCAACACCCAGTTACTAAATCATATCAAATATATTTAAGTCCCTCCCAAACTATAAATTTGAGCAGTGTCTTATAAAATTTTTAGGGTTAATAACACAAAACTTTCAAGCAGAATAATTTTATGACATGCTAAGGAGCTCCCCCTAGTGGTTTGTATTGATATGTAAATGCTGTTCAAGTCCAAGTTGAGGTTGATGAAGACATCGATATGTGAACATTGCAATTGCAAACTGACTATACTTAGATTACTCTGGCATGGTTCTGCATTATTTAAAAACATCTCAAATTGCCTTATGTGTCCTTTATGTAAAGGTTAATCTCAGTAAATAGGAATATTCTCAAAAATGGAATTTATTTTAGTAATTCAATTGAAAAACATGAAGATAAAGCATCCTAGATTCATTATAATTTTCTGGTTTATGTCTTATAGTTTATGAAAACCCAACATTCAGTTTCTCCAGATATTTCAGCCTCATTTAAGACAATTTAAACAGATTTTAAATACAATAAAGTCAGCCAAGTATATATATGTTCAGTACTCGGTTTAGACTGCTTCCCATGGATTAATGCATTAATATGGTGAGGCAGGGAAGCAATCAGTCTTTTACTCTGCTGAGGTCTTGGGAAGCCCAGATTCCATTAATACCATTCTTCAGCTCATCTGCATTGTCAAGTCTGATGTTTCGTTTCTTCTTCTTTACAATATTATTGTCATTTCTGTATGGGGTTTAGGTCAGGAAAGTTTAATGGTTTTGGATACTTTGGTTAACAGTCCTTGTGAGGAGCATCAGTGAGTATTTGCTTGACACCAATCAAGTTATTAGCCTTCTCTCCATCATTGTGTAGGCCATAACATCCCAATAGCATTGAAATATATTTTTATTGGTTTTGCTTTGGGTCATAAAACAAACAGAAAGAAAACAATACTTGAAATATATCACTATGCACAATATGTCTCACTTTTTGATTAGATTTGCAAACATAAAGTCTTTCATGTAATGTGCCACTTTATTAGAAGCAACCTCCTGCTGGTGAAATAAGATAAGAAACATACAAATTTAGTATGAAAGTTGGTTTTCAAAAAAAATTATAAGCTAAAAAAAAGTATGAACATCAAAAACATATTAAAATTCTTTTATAGCTGCTTCATGCTGATCCCACATTGTGAAGTTGTATATCTTTTCATGGATGGAGAGTGGCTCATAGACAGTAGAGTTGCTTTAGCAAAAAACAATGTTGATGAAAATAGCACCATATCACATATGGTTTTTCATATTAGAAGTTGTTTAATTTAAAAGTAGTACTAAAGTCAATGCTGTTTTCTCTCATTGCAATAAATGTAAAAATTCCGAAAACAATACGAGATTGTATGAGTAGTTGTGAATGAATTTCTTAAATTGCATTTTAAAACTCAATATATGTTTTATTCAATTTAATCTTTTTCATGTAAAAAGTGTATTCTGCATTAATAAAGTAAAATGTTGGCACTGGACTTTATTTTTCTGTGTTCCAAAAGTAGATCTCAGAAGATTTTTGTTGGTAATGTTTTGTTTTGTAACTGTTTTTTCTGGTTTTTTTTTCATAAGTGTAACGGAATGACTCAAAAAAGAGTGACTCATCCTTGTAATACGTAAAACCACAAATGAGCTACATTTCAAAACATTGTTAGACTTTCCTTTAATTAGCACAGTGTAGAGAACTCAACTCTTCAAAGAATTTCAGGATTTATCAATGCATATTGATAAGGCATTGTTTGACAGTAATCTGCTTCAGTAAGAAGGTTACAGTATCTTACTGACAACTGGATCCCACCAAGTTACCAGATAAGTGTTTAAGGCAATACTACAGTAATGTCATATAAGAAAAATAAATAAAAATTAAAAAAAGCAAAATCACTGATTAATTTATTGATTTATTGATGTATTTTTATTACATCAGTATCCCTTCTGTAATTCATTTAAAGTGTTGCTGTAATTTGACTCTTTGTGAGTTGAGTGAGTCAAACAAACTATATCTGAAGATATTTTTGTCATTTAAATTTAACATGCATTCAATAAATAAAGATGATTTATGTTTTTCAAAAAATAATTGAAAAGCACTGTTTCCTGTCATTTTGCCACACGGAGTTTGCCACTTACAATATGGCAATTATGACGTGTCACGTGTTCATGTCAACAGTTTTATTTTGAAATTCCCAACCCGGAAACTAATCTGTTTTCCTCTTCCTTTTTCCTGTGGTGTGTACTTGAGAGAGATTCCACAATGGCTCAGAAAGTCCAGAAACTCGTAACTAAAGTCCCAACGCTTCTCAGTGGTAAGTGAACCATTATTATGTTTTACAGCACTTTGAAAATTGATTAGTTAATTTAAAGCCTAACCGCGTTATTACAGTTCGTCATATGTGCTCAGGTTCTCTGTGACCTCTGCGTATCGTCGCTTCTGGTGTAAAATAGAAAACGCTGCTGCAGGTTTTCCTCTTTGTTTTGTGTTTAGCTTTCAAAGGCAACGTAACCCTGCAGTTTCTTACTTCTCCGAGTAAGGTGGTCTATGCTTTATTGCAGCCGCTGTCACATACTCCAAACCCCGGCTAGCGACCTTCTGGTACTACGCCAAGGTAGAGCTGGTCCCTCCGACCCCTTCTGAAATCCCCACGGCTATCGAGGCCGCCAAAGGTCTGGTCAGGAGCTACCAGGCAGGACGCCTCGGACGAACCACAGTCAAAGTAAGCAGTTTTTCATTTACTTAAATTACGACTGATTTAACCCCATAGCTTTTCTTTATGGGAGGTGAAAATGTATTTACTTGATCTTTACCTGAAAATGCCGAGATAGTGAAAAGCTAGAGTGATAGGCGCCTTAATGAAATTGTAGATATAGTGTTTGACCACAAAATAACATGTTGAAAAATTCCAGTAAATAATTGACAAGTATGAAGGTCAGTTTGGTGGAAAAAAGAAGATGGTCTGGATCTTCTTTTTTCATAATATGAATAACATAACATTGATATTATGTTTTGAAAACATAATATGTTTTCATGACATATTATGAAAACGTTGACATTCCAATAAAAACATTCTGGAAAAAAATTAATAAATTAGCCTTTTTAAGAAATAGATTAACAGCAATTGATAATAAAGTATTGGTGATCAAATCATATTCAGCCACCACTGTGCAACACTGATGGAAAAACAATCTTGTTCCCCTTGAACCAGATCAAGGGGAACAAGATTTATTTGTAGAGAGGAAATAAATACCCTTATTTTTTGGGGGAGTGGGGTCAAGTTTGAATTTGACAAAAAGCACTTTTCTTACCTCTAAATGTTTCCCTTTTTGTTTCAGGATGCTTTGAGGAATGGACTTGTGACTACTGAGGTGTTGATGTGGTTCTTCATCGGAGAGTGCATCGGCAAAGGAGGCGTGATTGGATACAATGTCTAATAAATAATGAATTTCCTCTTTTCACAAGGACCGGGCAATAAATCAAGAAGAAAATATCATGATATACAGCATGATCAAGAACAGTAGGAATTACATCCAATAGATTTTATTCATTTTATTTTACTTCAGAGATTCAAAACAAATTATCAACTGATATTAAACACCTATATCGTGATATGTTTGTCAGCCATATTGCCCAGCCCTACTTCTGAGTATAACATTCTGAATGAATTCCAACTAATTCTTAAATAAAATCATTGAATCAGTCTTGACATCCCTTATATGTTTTATTTACAAACAATTTCCAAAACTATTAGGGCTACAAAATGTTTCATAATACCTCATGAAGATCTTAAGGTATTAGTAATGACTAACGTATTTCAGATGATCGAGTCAAAACGTATGCTAACTAAAATGGGTGTTTGGTACATTTTACTGCTATGTAATGATGGACATCTCCTCTCGCTCTCGACTCTCGGACATTGCTTTTACAACATTTCCCAAGTATCTGTAGAAGGCATGTCGCATATCTTCGGGCTCTTCCTCCAGATCAGAATGAATAAGTGGCAACCTGCTCAGATTTGGTGCTGCATCAAAAAAATAAATCCATTAGTCCTGTAAGATGGACACTGATTTAAGAGAGTACTACACAAAGATTACCTAAAGGCAGTCGATCATTTTCTGTCTCACTCCCAGGCTTGTGGTGAGCTATGAGTAAACACTGGTTTTCCTGCAGACTTTGGGTGGAGATGAAGATGGAATGCCACGTCTCGATTTCTTTGAGGTGACTTGGGATATCAGGATTAAAAATGATCACCACACCGCTGCAGTCCTTCATCAGTGCAGGCCAACAAGATTCAAATCTGCAAAATAAAAAATGTTACTTACATTGATGGAGAACCTTATTTCGTAGGGTAAGATTTAAATCATTTTTAACAAGTCAACTAACTTAAAATCTCCTGAACAATCCCAAAGTTCAACCTCACAGATCTTGTCACCGCTGCCCTCAGGCTGGGATTCAAATTCCAGGATCCTTGAGACAGTAGAGAGCAGCTGCATTTAGATAACTGGTGTCTAATAAGCGATATAATTTTATAATAGGACATGGATTTAAACACTTTGTGAACTGTTTCAGACTCAGTGAGATTCATATCACATGACTTTAGTATCTGTAATGGGAACTTTAAACAGTCAATAATTAAGTGCAGTGTTCTTCTTATAACACAGGACTTGTGTACCTGACTCCTTGTGTTGGTCTGTATTCCCCAGCCACGTTTTCTGTTGTGTCTGAAAGGAAGTTAGCAATAACGGTCTTACCACTCTAAAAAAAGAAACACATATGTGGCATTACATAAATTGGAATATCTTTTTAACATTTTGCAACAACAACACATTCACTACACAGTCTTATTTTCTTTAGTGTATGCAGCAAACCAGAAATGCACTGATAAAGCTTTTCTTCACCTGTTCTATTTGTCTGACCTTCAAATTTTCATTTTCTAAGGGCAATAAATATTACAAAATGTTTTCCTCAGCTACTTGTTTTAAAAGTGTCAAAAAATAAAACAGTTGTGAATTTTCTAATAAACAGGTTAGTGAATCCTTCTTATCCTGTCCTAAAGTGTCCTATTTTTTAGCAAAACAAATGTCTAAGTCTATCCAATAAACCTTAATTCAAAAATTGTAGAAATTACACAAACAACCACCAAATGAAAGATGGTGTCTGTGGTGTATGTTTGACACCATAATGCTCTAAAATAAAGATGGTATGAATATCATGGACGGGTTTTCTTACATGTCTTTTCCTTGCGAATGTAAGAACTTTACCACAAAGTCACAAAATAATGTTGTGTTTACACATAAATATTGTAATCAAGTAAGTACTACTATTTTGCATGTTGGGAGGTAGAACATTATTATATGCTACCTGGATTATGATAAATAAATACAGCTTTAGATTATCACACAATGAAAGATTTTACAGTTGTAAATGTTAAGTATTAAGCTGACTGTGTACTTGTCAACACTTTACAGCTACAGACTGTAATAAGATAATCAATCTTACCTCAGTAGGACCAACGAAGAGAATTTTTGCTTTAAACATTTTCAACAGGCGGGTCGTTAGCCTGTCCGGCTAACTTGCCACGATTAAGCCCTGACAACGCGAAGCTGTCGTCCTCAGATGAAAAAATAAAATCAAATGAAAAATTATCAGTCGTATTTTCTCTATAAAACTAGTAACATTGGCTTAGCTGTGTAGATGTCGAAGCTGGGCAGTCGCAGTAAACTTCCTTTTTGTTGCTATGGTGTCAGTCATGTCTTTTTTTCTTCTTTTCATTATTGGCTATTTGGAACGCTACTTAAATTTAACCCCGCCTCTTTTCCGATCGAAAGAAGCCAATAAGCTTTCAGTGAATGGATTTGCGTCATGACGTTGCCTGAAAGCTAACCAATTAAGTGTAGATATTGCGACGAACGTATAGTTCCCATTGTAGCAGCGTCAATAACAGCAGAGACAACACGAAAGCGTAATATTTGTCCTTTCAAAGCATGTATTCGTAAGGAACTATGTTTAGGCTCAGTAAGAGCAACAAGTCTGGTGGTGGTCTTGCTGGTTTCATAGACAAAAGCAAATGTTTAGTGAGTGGATCGAAACGCTTCGCAGCTTCTCAACCCCATCTATTGCTATGTGTTGACCTTCGAAGTCCCTTTGCTGGCACAAGTCATAAGGTAAACATTTTAACTATGAAATAAATTTTATAATAGTCCTATCTCATCTATTTTCACTGACTGTTACTCTCTCATTTTAGTTGTCAATGTGAGGTATGTCTCCAGAGGGTAAACCCCAAAGTTCCCCACTTGGTTTCAGCCCCATCAGGGAGGATCTCCCTCTGAGTCGTCGTGACCTTGACAGCAGTGATGAACCAGAAGAGAACAGGGCGTGCACTAGTGTCCAGACAAGAGCTGAGTCTGGGTGAGGATGTGGAACACATATTTGTTTGTAAAATGCAGCATAAGCTGGGCAAAATACGCAGTATGGTCTAGGATACTTGAATGTTTTCTCTTTCTCAACCATATTTTTAGCCCCGAGAACTTCAATAGAGGGAAAAGCCCCTTTCTGAAAGTCCTGATAGAGGCAGAAGCTGCTTCCAGCGCTGCAGCAATCCAGCTTGTGGCTTTTAAAGATGCAGTGGACAACGAATTTGCCGTATGCTTCTTTTGTGCAATTTTGTGTCCCACAGATTTTCTTTTGAACATTTTCAATTTCTTCAGAATGTGACTGTTTCAGAACTGTTAATACTTTTTTAAAATTATTATTATTATTATTATTTTAGAGCTCTGGGAAGTCTACCAAAGACAAAAGCAAAATCACCCGCCAGAAAGGACTTTTGCTGGAGAAGTTGGAAGAATTCAGGCGACTGAATAAATCAGTGCGACAGAAGCTAAAACAACTTCAAGATGCAGAGGTAGATTTTGTTTTTTAGCATGTTGATTACATTTGTAAATATAGACCAGCAAATAGAAGATGTAAACATGTTTTATTCACGAGTTTGACATTATTTGCTCATAGGCATATCGAATTGATGCTGACAGAAAGATGGAAACTTTACTGAAATGGATCAGAAACACTGAAAGCGAAAATGAGGTGACTGTTTTGTTAAATCATATTTGGTCAAGTTAATTCCAATGGATCCAATGTTGGGAAATGACAAAATTGTCCTTATTTTGATCCAAAAGAATTTGAAAAAAAACCTCGATGAGACCGAGAAGAGGATTAGTAAACTGATGGATTTGCGGAAAGATGAGCAGGTAAGAATAATCAATACTCAAAAATACAATCTTTTCCTAAGGAGGCATGGGCCTGTTACTGCTACAGAGTTATTCTAAATTTTTAAAATGTTAGGGTTCTTAAAATCTTTAAGAATGTCTATGTCAGCATTTGAAAATTAAAACAGAAATAAACTATTGTTGTAGTTGATGCTATCAGTAACAAGCAATATGAAAACAAATGTTGCTTTACATGTTTTAAATAAAAACAATTAGACCTTGTAACTTTTTGTAACATTTTTAAAAACATATGTATTTATATTCTTTAAATATATTTTTTGTTTGTCTTATCAGGAAAACATTAAAAGCTTAGTTCACACCACCAAGTCCATTGAAACGACTCGTGCTCACCTGCAGGGGCAGCTGCGCAACAAGGAAGCAGAGAACAATCGCCTGACTGTACATTTACGGGTAAAATCCCTCCACCTTGGTTACTTGAAACTGTGAAAGAAAAGTTTTAAAATATATGATATTGAGATAATTTTTCAGTTTATTTTTTATTTTTTGGTGTGTTACAGACCCTGGAGAGAACTGTAGCAGAGCAGAAGTCGGAGATTGATCAGCTGAAGACATCCTTTGCCTCCCTGACCAAAAAGGCTGTGAAGGACAAAGAATATCTGAGGAAAGCTACACAAGCACAGAAACTGAGAGCAGAGAGATTCGAAGCTGCCATAGAAAAGTGCAATGCACAGCTAAAGGAAAGGGTATGAAATCAAAACAAATGTAAGTGCCGGTTGCACAAACTCAAATGCACCTTCAAAACTCAAGGATGCTGCTTTCACTGTCAGGATTCCCAACTGGCTAAAGCCCGTTTAGAAAGAGACTCCAGGAGACGGCGAAAGGAGCTGATGACAGATGAGAAAGAAAAACTTGTTGCTCAAATAGACCTTATGAAAAGGTTTGTGCTCTACACAGTCAGGCTAGTAGAGTACAGCATGCACATGAGACAGCTGCAGATTTACACTGATAAACCGCATGATATTTTTCCTCCAACAAAGTGAATTAGCAGAGTTGACACTGAGGCTTCAGAAAGAGAGGGACGAGCTAACTGCAGAAAATGAAAACATGGTGCAAAGCCTCGACAAACTCATTGCTGACAACAGGGACCTCACCATCACTAATGCAACGCTCAAGGTATGAAGTGTCACACAGCTTTTTTAGGGAATTCATCGTTTCAATAGTGCAGATTTTAAGGGAAAGGTATTTACGGTTTATCTAATGATTTTATGTTAAATGCGATATGTTAGAATACCATCAAAAACTGCAGTAGAAAAAGACAATGCTTCAAAAACCACCATACATGAACATATCCAGGACGTGGGCTGCAACTGAGATTCCTTATGTTGATAAAAGAGGACGTAACTGCATTGAAGTCTTCTGTCCCTTTTCTGTTTAGCCTAATTGAAGCAGATTTGAATGTTGTCCGCGGTTCAGGAGAAACTGAGCACAAGGAATATAACGGTTGCAGCTCATTTCTGGATGAGGTTCATCCTACATGTGGAACTTCTTGAAGCACTGACACCACTTGTGATTCACGCCTTCTGACTCTCCCTAAATTGCTAAATGGCCTTCGCTTAACAATCTGATCAAGGCTGTGATCATCCTTGTTGTTTGTGAAAATTGTTCTACCACAGGTTTTTCTTACACTCAACCTTCCATTGCTATGCTTAGGAACAACTACTACCCCTTGCAGAGGTTATGAATGATTGTTTGCTGCACAAGTGTGCAGTCATCTGTATTTCTCCTGATTGTGTACACCATAATGTGGTCATATCTTAATATTTCTTATGCACATTTTTCTCCTATTTTTAACGTATGACGTTCAGTTTTTTGAGATGCAAATTTAACAGAAAAAAACAATTGAACTACCTCACTCTGTGTATTTGACCAATATAATTTTCTCTTCTTACATTGAATTACTGAAAAGCTATGCTCTAATTTCTCAAAATTCCTTGTTTGGTCCTTTGCCTTCTATTTCTTCTAGTAGTCTACATTTTTCACAGCTGTTTTTTTCTGACATTTTGTTTCTTTTACTCTAATTCTGCAGCTGAAATGATATTTATTTATGCGTGATTGCAGATGTCCGTGGCTCACTTGAAGGAGCAGCTTGCTGATTGTGAGTCGGCGCTCGTTGAAGAGAAGACCATTTCGCTGGAAAAGAAAAATGAAGCGGAACAATGCCACTTTCAGGTCTGTGTTCTTCAGTCCTCTGTTGTTTGGTCATTTGTCAAAATAAAGTATTTGTAAAAATCCAACTAACTGATTTTTTTGTACTCAAATATCCATGAAGCAATAAGCTGACTGAAAAACAGAAAAATGTGGCCATACTCCATTATCATATCAAAGACTCAACAGTTTTTTTCCCTCTGTTCAGGTCTCAGGACTCAAAGCTGAGATTGACAGCCTTCAAATAAAATATGCAAATCTGTTGAGGGAAACAAGAACGACACAAGACGAGAAAGAAACAGAAGTTGAGAAGGTATTGCTACCGCCACATTTGAATCCATTTGAGCAATTAATGACTAACGGTTGATTGAGGCAGTAATTCTCGCATAACTTGTGCTTTTTCTAATATAAACAGCTCCACATCTCTCTCTTTCTTGTTGATAAATTACCTGTCACTATGCTATTAGATCGTTTCTGCAAAACCCCTCAAATAGTTTGTTTTAACAACCTTACACAGTGTAACTCTTCTCAGTCTAAGTGGCACAGATGGGGAGCTTTGAAAACTTAAAAGTGTGTCTATGCTGTGCCTATTTCCAACACTGGACCTGGAGCCCAGGTGAACCAGGAGCTGCAGGGACGCATAGAAGAGCTGAGAGTTTACCCTGAGTTACTGGGTGAAGCCAAGCAGAGTCTCCTCCAATGCCAGGAGAACCTGCGCAGGCTGGAGAGGCAGTGTTTGGAAAAATCAGAGTCCGTTAAGCAACTGCAGTTTAAGGTGTGCAACGCCAGCTGTTGTCATCAGATGTAAAATGTAAAATTCATTTACATATATCTTGCCACTAGGTGGTAGTACACCCCCTGTGTCTCTATTGTGTTTTCTTATCTTGATGGTTTTTCTGGTTGCAACCGGCAAAAAAAAAATAAAACAGTTTGCAGTGTAGAAAATGCACCCCGGTGTATATTTTGATGTGTTTGTGCTGTGTGAGTTCTCCATCACTTACATTGTGTCTCCCACATAATGTATTCTCTAAATAATTATTTTCCCTTTTGAATGGTTTCCCTTCATTCAAACAATGTTCCTCTGAATTCTACAATTTCTATTTGCAGATGGAGACTCAAAATAAACAGCTGAGGTCATCTCTGGAGATGAAAGAGTCTGTTCATGAAGCCAATTTGAAGGTACAAGAAAAAGTGAATTCTCTCCAAAGGTAAGAACACACACAGTGGCTGAACCAACCTTTGCTTAACTGACATCTGCAAGTCCACAGGTCTAAGTTTCTATCACCTTTGTCCATCTAGTGGCAGAAATGTTTGGCTGCTCATCTTTGACAAACAACTTAAGCTCAGTTAGATTGAATGGGTAGTCTGTGTTTGTGCTTTTATTTTTAGTCTTGCCACAAATTTTTTTATTTGATTTGAGCCTTTGCAGAAAAAAAATAAGCTTTGGTGTTAACCATTAGTGTCAAACTTCAGTCCTCAAGTGCAGTTACCAATTTTACATGTGCCCCCACTCCAGTGTAGTTAAATTACTGCAATATAATTATCCCACTAATGAACACATAATTTGATTCAGGTTTGTTGAAGCAGCTTCAACAAAGAATTTTAGATCTGTACTCAGTACTCAGCTTTGAGTACTGGACTTTGACCCCTGCAGTTTGAAGTAGACATAAACACCTTTCCTCTTCAGAAAAATTGACCAGATGCAGCAGGAGAACCTGGAGCTGGTCCGGAAGCTGGCGGCTCAGGATGAGGCCCTAAGCTACAGCAACCGGCAGCTGGATCAGCGCTCCTCAGAGTGTCAAGCTCTGAATCGGCAGCTGGAAGCTGCTTTGTCAGATGTCAGAGAGCAGGTGAGCTTCAACAGTTGTCCTGTCAAACTTTGAAAGACAGAATTTTTTGCTCAGATTAAAAGAAACATTTGGCTTCAACCAATGTTAGTGAGTTAATCAGTGATTTGTCCCAGGTGAGTAAAGTAAAAACCCAGACTTCCTCCAGGGAAGAGGCTCTGCAGAAGAAAATCCTGCAGCTTCAGGCTGAGCAGAGCAGAAGGAATAATGAACTGAAGCTTCTTCGTGAGAGCAAGCAAAATGTGAGCATCACATTTCTAAAACATTCTCTATTTTCATACCAGCAAATGATCCAATATCTAATAGTTAAGCTGATGTCCAAATAAACTACTGCTTGTCTGCCATCAATCTGCAGGCGGAGAAACAGTTTGAGGTGCGTCTGAGGAATCTGGAACTCAGTCTGGACCAATCAGAGAGCCACAAACGCAGCATTCAGAATTACGTTGATTTCCTCAAAAAATCTTACATGGCAATTTTTGATGAAGGGGTACAAACATCAACGTTTGGATCATCATATTTCCTAAAATGATGGTTTCCATTTTGTGTGTGTGTACACTGTAATATTTATATCAAGTGAGAGTCAAGAAGAAGACATTTTATTGAGAGACAATAACTGCTGCATGTAGTTAATGGCGATAATCCCAAATTTATAGCAGTTTTGATAGCTATTTTAGCTCAGGTTATATTTTTAAGAAAAAGTTGTTGAAAACAAAATCATCTAAGTTAATTAGGAAACTAGAATGATGAATGGTAAATAGTTTTATACAAAAAATGTACTTTGGATAATTAATAATTCTACAATGTAAAATTTGAACAATAATGCCTAATGGTCAATTTTCCTTATATGGCATTGCTACAGCAATAAGACTTCATTTTAATAATTGAAGTTGTAGAAGACATATCTAAACTCTGCAAGCACATTTTTGTGGCTTTAATGACTTGTTTTGTGTTTTCTATGGACAATGAATGTTATTAAGTCTTTGTTTCAAAGAGTTGAGAGGTCAGAACCTCAAACATTTCACTGAGGATAATGAAACGCTTGGCCGGGTGGAGGGGATTTAGAAAACCAAGACTCGCTGTATGTTGATGGCAGGAAGTTGTCTGAAAATACAGGGTGTTGCACAGAGAAAGCTTCCACTTCCTGTGTTTAGCATATTGTCTGGGTGTAGTTCATGTGAATTCCTGAAATCATCAGTTTCCTTTTTAAGGACATGTCTTCATATTGAACAGATGGTTCAAGGGACAGATGGATTTTCTGTTTCTAAGCTCTTCAGTCTAGCCAGTAGTCAGTTAGTTAATGACTTCTGTTTTCTTTCTCTGAGAACCACACAATTGGTTCTCAGTCCTGAGCTTAAATCATGTCAAGTATGTAAATTAATTGTCAAATCTGATTAACTTAGGCTTGCCACATGTGGGACATTATTTTATTTATTTTTGTCTTTGGGGAATGGTATATGGATTGTTTTTTTGTTTTTGTTTTTTTGGAAACATGTTCCTTAAGTTACTTCTTGTCTTGTTGGAGATCTCTGGCCTGCATGCGCTGATTACCAGGTAGTGTTATCTCTCTGTGATCTCAGCTTTATACACAAAAAAAATGCATTTTATTTCTAAGGTACACTGAAGTTTTGAAAACAATCTAAAGAAAACCATATTGATCTTCTAGATGAAGTTGTACCTTTTTAAAAGACAATCAAATTTCTTTCTAAGTGCAGCTTAGTAACATGAAAACACGAGACTTTTATTTGAACTAAAGATTTGCCTACTTTTAACACTCCTAATACATAACCATAAAGTTATCAGATTGAATCACTTCTGTTTTAGTCCCTTTTATAGGTTGCATGACCAGGTACTGTTTATTATTTTTGCATGCTTGTATGTTACTTTTTTGTATGCAATAGTCAAGTCGTAGGTGAATGTACCAAAACATCAGGGGCGGTTAGGATATTTTTAATCCTCATAAATCTGCTTTTCCAATGTCTCAAAAACAAAAACATCTGTTTTTGCAGTGATTTGTGAGAAGACGTAGTATGAATTTTCCTTTTCTTTCTCAGCTGGTATGAGATTAGTGAGTAAATTAATTTAGTTGTGAAGATCTTATTGCTGGTTTGCAAACACAATTACTGAATAACTGAAAACGTTTGGGATGTTTCCCAAATGTGCTTTGTAATGACAGAGGATTACTGTAACTAGTTTGTCTGGATAGCAATAAAAATAATTGTCTGGCTTTTTTAAAAAAAATCTTTTACTGTCACCGTTATTCGTCATAATCTCTGAATCCTCATAAACTATTGTTTACGAGATCTCTGTGTTCTTGCAATGATCTTTTAAAATAAGAAAATCTCATTAAGAGTCTGAGGAAAACTGCACTTGTGGTTCTGTGTTGTTCAATGCATTAGTTTTCTTATAGTTTGAGAAACAGCATCATTCTGTTGCCTTGTGAACTGGTGTGTTTGTCAGTTTTAGAATAATGTCACATTAAATAAATGAAAAGAAGCCTTTGCTATTGTGTCAGTTTCATACTAATTTACTTGCTAGAATGGCCAATGTGTCATGTTTCAATTTGTCAATGACAAAAACTAAGCATTAAATTGATTAAAGAAAATGATCCAAACTTTCACAACATGAAAGGTTTCACAAAGAAGCAAAGCACAATACTCCAATGCCACAAAGCTAATTTCAGAATAATGTTTTTTTATTTGAATTGTTCTCAGATTCAGTTAGTTTCTGAATCGTATTAGAACGTCCACAGAGGGTGAGCAGCTTTTTACTGCTTTTGGAGAAGTCCAAAACACACAGTCAAGATCCAGTCATCGCTACCTTCCTCCTAAAAGTCTGTCCAGACTTGCATTTGAAATGGACTCCTGGTCCATTTCTGTCGGTCCTGTGAGGCAGACAGAGTCGGCCTTCTGAGCAGGACCTGCAGTGTTTCGGCTGGAGTTTCTTCAGACTATGACAACCACCATAGGACATCTGAATTGGATGGACAGCCTTCACTTTACATTTCCCAGCTTTCTGTGGAACAAAATTTAAAAGCCTAGACTTTATAGGTTGAACAAAGTTGTGGAAACCTCTAAATTCTTTTGCAGAAATAAATCTGACTTTTCTGTATAACCAACATGGAGGACATTGCAAGAGTACCTTTTGGGGAATTTCTTTGCAGGGTTTTATCTCACAGGTCTGAGTTTCAGTCACCAGTTTGCATTTGATATTGTTGTTGGTCATCCTGGAGGAAACTCCATGACCACAGGATTTGGAGCAGGGTGACCAGGCTGTGGTCTGAGGCCGACACTGGACTCCTGTTTCAAGCCTCTTTGGATGATTCCTAAAAGCTAAAATGAACTTTTTAAGCTAATTGGGTCCCATTCTGTTTTAACAATGTGAAGAGTAGAACAATACTCACCTGTTAATTCTCCTCTCCTAACATGTGGAGGATCATTCTTGTTAGAAAAGTCACCATCAGATGGGTCTTGTTTGTACTTTCGTCTGTGTTTCCTTGTCCCAGACCTTCCTGTGTTTGCATCATCAAGGCAGATGAGTCGTTCACAGCACTGTCCTTTCACATTAACCCTCTTCAGTTTTTTACAGTCCACTCTGTACATCAAAAGATCACGAGTGCAAAGCGAGACGCACCCAATAGATCCATCCATGCAGGTGCACTGATATTTGCAATTTGGCTGAAAGGTTTCCCCATTCTGGAACATCCTGCCGTTGAACTCGCAGCTTCTTCCATGTGATTTCGCTATTGTAAAGAAATGGGAAAGATTAGGTCCTTAAGGGAGGGAATAGACATTTAAATTAGACCAAGAGAGGAGCAGAAGCCAGCGTGCCTTGACAGATGCCAGATGCAAAATCAGATTTTCCCCCAAAATTGCACTCCAGTCCCTTTGCAGTGTCGCACGGTTGAGTTTTGCTGCAGTTGTCATAGAGCTGCCGTGCACAGACCTTACAGCAGCCGCAGCTATCCAGCATTAGACTCACCCCTGCTGCACAAACAGGGACGTCCGGAGGACACTGGCAGGCTTCTGGGCATGAGGCCGACACCTGAGGTGAAAGACTTTATCACTTTCCCAACAAAAAGTCAATTATTAAAAATAACTAATCAAACTTCATGTATGAAGAAACAGCTTCTATTCCTTCCTCACCAGAGTAAAGCAGAGGGTTACAGCTACAAAGATCTTCCACATCTTCCCAAACCAACTCTCCTGATCAGAATTGGATAAAGCTGCCAGTGAGCTATTTCTTTTAGACTCTCCTTTTATCAAGCAGATCTGACGTATGTAAAAGCAGAAGAGGTGTTCCAAAACTGTGAGAGGAATGCTTCGCTCCCTGTCCTGCCATGAGGTTTCACCCTCCCTTTGAAAGAGGGGATTCTGGAAAAGCGCTCCCTTTAGCTCTGTTTCAGTTGAATGGAAGCCTGGATGGTATGTCTTTTCTCACAGGACAGAAAAAATAGGTAATTTTTCTATACACTTTGAAATGTATAGTTGGAATAAATTATATTACATAATCTCCTTTGATTGATATTTCTGTATTTTCAGTTGTGCATTTTTTTCAAGAAGCTTATATTAGTTTCACATCTTTAATTTTATTTTCAGCTTTACGCTACAGGGATTTTTTTTTTTTTTTTACTTGACAAAATGTTACAATAAACTGATAAATATCTTCCAGTAGTGAATTATTTTATGTTAAAATTAATGTTCCTGATTATTTTAGACAAATAACTGAAAGAGACTTTCTGATACAAATATACAGGCAGGTTTATGATGCATGGAATGACTTGCAGAAGTATGCATTATTGGATTTACACTTGTGACTTTCCCCAAGCCTGATGCTGCCATATGTTTCACTAAGAGGATAGTCATTTCATTGCAAGGTGCAGTGAGACTTCTAATGGCTATATTATTCCAAGGGCTTTCATTGCATTTCTCCATTAACGCCAGACTTGTGGTCGTAGTTTTTTTGTCCACAAAAACCCCAGGGGTCTATAGCTCCACCAAGGGAACCAGAGACAACACAGGACTTGATTTTATCAGATGAAGTGCATCAGGTAAAATCTGATTTAACCTGATTTTATCTGATTTTCATTTGTGCTTGTCATTTTTCATTGACAGTTTTCCTGTGACTATTTAAAACTTTCCAAGTCATACACTAATGTGAATTCATGGTCCTAGCCACATGTTACAAAGTCTTTCACATGTAGCTTACAATTTGAGGTCATGAGAATGAGGCTTAACTGTGGGGTTGCCTTCTGGTTGTTGCAGATTTACTTGCAGCAAGAAGCTTTCTGATTATCTCAGCTGTGGATTATCTCAGCTTTAACAAAAGCATTGTGTGTGTGCGTGTGTGTGTAGGTGTGTACGCATTTCCTGTGCAGCACTCTCATTTTTGGTTAGACATTGCTTTAATTATGACTATCTCTATTTGTTCTTGATCTGCTACACACTATGAAGTTATCCATACAGCATGTACTTATCACTGACACGTGAAATATTCTACCATCAGTCCACACATGGCCTCAACATCAGGGCACTGCAAGTTCTGACGTGAATATTGAAGGGAAGCTACATTCTTTTATGAGCAACTGAATCTTTCTCTTGGCTGAGGAATTGTTGAATTTTGACTGCTTGAAGAAAAGTGCAATGGGACTTTGCATGCCAGTGTAAAAAGTGAAGGGTGGAATTCCAATTAATCAGCCTTCAAGGTGTGAGGCGGATTAACATTTGTGTCAGTGTTTGACTTTCAAATTTAGCTTTCTGGAGTGATTGAAGCAGAGGAATTATTTATATTTTTTTAGGGAGGACACCCAGCCCAATAAAATCAGAAAGGATCCGTGAAGCATTACACTTTTCAGAAAGAACATTGCATCTCTTTGAAGCAGCAACACAAGAAGCATCCTGCTTCATCCACATCAAACAACGGAAATCAAGACAGGAAATATGTGTTTTCTTTTATTGGAAAGTCTGAGAACAAAAGGCTGAGGAGAGCACACTGGCACTGTCTCGTTCTTATCTGACTGAGGTTGCAAAAGGCCTTTTTGAGTCAGTGCCAGCACATAAAGAGCAAACATGTGAGAGCTTGGTGCAGTTAATCATTGCAGCAATTTGCTCACTGTTGTGGTTTTGCAAGGGGAATTCTCCTGCCAAAGATGTGATCTAAAGAATGTGCAGGGCCATATTAGCTGAAAGGAACATTGGATACATGATAGGCAGCTGGAGAATATGAAAAGCCTTGAGATGTTCCCTTCCAACAGAGAAGCGTGTGACAGTGCCAAGCCAAAGACAATGAGCCAATTAACAAACATATCTGGAAAAGTTCAGCTGAGGATATTATGTTCCAACTTATTAGAAATTAACTACTTTTGCCTAAAGCACTCAGCAGCTCCTGACACTTTGAGATGATGATAGCAGGATTGACTGAGCTCAGATTGTAAGACAGAAATTCAGAACCATAAATTATGATTTTTATGTATGGAGTCACTCATTACATTTGCCATAATCATAATTCATAGAGGAATCAATGGTGCTTTAGTTTAGCTTTTACTGTGCAATAAATAGAGGGAAATGTGTGCTACTTGTTCTTTGTGAGGTTTAAAATCCAAGGTAAAATAAAAACCCTCTAACATTTATCCTGGTTTTACCAGGCACCAAAAACAATTAAATATTTGTCCTGATGTATTTGTGTATGAAAAATATGGAAGTTTTCAGTTTTGCTGGTACCTTTTTTCTGTTGATCACCTACAGATTACTGGTTGGAGTTCATTAAAGAAAAACTGGACAATGCCAGTCATTGACATTGTCTTAACCAAAACACTGCAATGGCAAATTTTTGCAAACCAGTTTCATTCAGATAGAACAGGCGTCATTTTGAAATTACTCCAGCAGACCCCCAGTCATCTGATTGCACACGTAGTCTCGTGTAGGAAAGTTGTTTGGTGGAGAAAACAGCAGCAAGTATTCAAACTGTTTCTTGTAAGTGTGTAGATGTTTAATATCCACCACTACTCTGCTGGATCCCATGAATATGAATCTTTTCATTTAGAAATAAACAATAAAAGCAGCTTTTGACCTTCAATTGCTGTGAGACAGCAAGAAAGAGAAATATTTATTTATTCTACCTGCCACCAGCCAAGAATCTATTACTGCATTAATGGCTTTTTTTGAAGACTAATGTGCTATAATTACACCTAGTCTCGAATAAGGAGTTTATGAACTCCTGGAGAGAGATAAGATGGCGAAGCACAGCTTCAGTGGGTAAGTAATGCAGTGAAGATGCAAACATAAAGGAAACCTTGTATGTCATATATTTATAACATAAATGCATTTTTCTTTTATCTCAGAGTCTCATTAGTTCTACGCTACTGTTCTGAGTAGGTTTGAAAAACATTGCGAAATATAATGGCAGCTTTCTGGACAGCAAATGATGAATATCGTTTCTGTTGACAGGATGTTTCCATGTATGCTTTTTCCCCAGCGAAAACAATTGAAATTGTGTCTGAACTTTCAACACCTATTTAAAGCTGAGGCTTTTCTGTCACACCTTTCCTCTAGAAATGGTGGGTTATGACAACATTTATCACATTTATCACCTGTGTTTCTCTTCAGCTTTAAATCACCTCCTCTACATGAAAAACCTCTCAGCAGGGCAACAGAAGGCCATCAACTCCTCTGCACTTGGATTGGCTTTATGTTTGCGAATGGCTTTTGTTTGATAGGGCACAAACTGCATTGCAGAGCACGATAAAAACAGACGTCATGAAGGAGCTCTTAGTTTGCGAAACATTTACATTAACGGAAAATTAAATTAATTGAATAATTTGTGTGATTTGTGGGAGAATACAAAATGGTATCTCGAACTTGTACAAAGTCTTGACATAAGAAAAAAAATATGTATTTATTTATGTATGTATTTATTTAATGGAATTTCTAGATAAATGGAACAGTTGTGAAAAGGCATCCTGCAGCGCCCTCCAGTGGTCTGAACGAGAGTAGCGCCTTACCTGCGTTTTAAAACGTTTAAAAGTGAAAGATCTTTTTTCACCAGCTCTCTAGTCCAAGAAAGTGGGAACCTTTACCATTTACTGATAAAGGTTCCCAGTAAATGACGTTCATGTTTGAGTTTTCTGTCAAAAAATGGTAGCGGAAGGGCACATGAGAGTAAAAGTGAAGCTGCTGTGAGTACTGCTGTGAGTACTTCTCTGTTCTGCCGTCGACGTATTATAACCTCGACACAATCAGGAAGTCCGGCCGTTTTTCCTCCGTGATTGAGACAGAAAACTTTGTCACAAAGGGAAAGGATCGGGTTTTAGCGATTAGTAATGAGGTGCCACATCTTTTAAGGGTCGTCGATCATTTATTGATGTGGTTTGTTACACTGTTTTAAACACCCAACTCACTATTTAGGTCGTCGTTGTTCACCCGGAACACCTGGATTTTGATTTAAGAGAAATGGATGTTTCTCACCTCACTGAAGATGAAATGGCAGAGATAAAGAAAGACGTGAGTATGATTGACAGGTGATCAGCTGGCATCAGAATAAAAAAAGTTGTATTTTTTTTAAACGAGGCAAGAGGCCGTGGAAACAATATTGGCTGGCACAGTTTGTGATCTTTGTTTGGATTTAAAGGCCCATTAAATGAGGAAATACTTCACCACACCCTCTGTGTGTGTTCATGTAAACACCCGGTCCTGTCAAAAAGATAATAAATTGAAACACACTGTACAACATTATCAGTTAAAGAGTATTATAAGTGTTGTCAGGGGTGAATGTTAGGATTGATAACTGTAGGGCTTTTCAAATGTTTCCATACCTCTTGGACATTGCCATAAATGTTTATATTACAGCCACACAGTTCTGTAAATTTCATTGGGAGTTTATGGACGAGACCAACACAAAGTAATACCTACTTGTGGAACTGATGAAAAATTATATATGGAAGTTTTCAGTAATAATAATAATAATAATTACTATTATTATTATTGTCAGGTGCTGACACTAATTGCTATTATTATTATTATTATTATTATTATTGCTCTTGCATAATAATAATAATAATTATTATTATTATTATTATTATTATTGCTCTTGCATAATAATAATAATAATAATAATAGCTTGCTACTGGGTTAAGGTCTGGACTTTGACTAGACTATTCTAGCACATGGACCTGCTTCGATGTATACCTTTCCATTGACCTGGCTGCATAAGGATAGAAGGTCAGTCACCCTGTGACCCAGACTCAAATTTTTCTGTCGTGGCTGAAGAACAGCAACCCAAGAGTATGATACCGCCACCTTGTATTTTTTATTTTTTTATTTTTTTGCATGGAGGTTTGAGTATTCATGAATACAAACAAACTTTGCTTGTTGTTGGTAAAGCAATGAAAATGGTGCCACTGAGAAGTTGGAAGAGAGGACATGAAAGTTAAAAATCACCCACCCTTACCTGGACGCCAACAGGTTACATTTTCATTTCATCTGACCAGAGCAACTTCTTCCATGCGTTTATCATGTCTACCTTTATAGCTCATGGCAATTTAGAAACAACAAACAAAAATTCTTTCAGCAATGGCTTTCCCCTTCCATAAAGTCCAGATTTATCAAGGTTATAACCAATAGCTGATCTGTCTGCAGCTCTTCTAGAGTTATCATGGGCCTTTTGATTGATTCTCTGATTAATGCCTGGCCTGTTGGTTTAGGAGGCTGGCCATGTCATAGCAACACTATTTTCAAAGCTTGGGATATTGTTTTATAGAGTAATCCTGCAAAACCTCCACTTCTTTCTTCCTGACCTGTCTACTGTGTTCCTTGATCTTCATTATGTTGTTTATTCACAAATGTTCTATGTGGTCTTTAGGGCCTTCACGCAACAGCTGGATTTATATTGAGCTAACCATTAAGATCCCACGCAAAATTATGAATCTTTCTGCTTTGTTGTTAGTTATTATTTTTGCCCGGTTACATGATTTTTCTTGCATTCCCAGGTGCTGACCAGACTGCGGCATTACCTCTGTGACAAAATCAGAGCAGACCGCCACCTGGACTACCTGCGTTCCCGGAGGATCCTGACCCGGGACGATGCGGAGGAGATAAGCTGCCGTACCACGCAGACCAAGAGGACGGCAACGCTGCTGGACATCCTGGCTGAGAATCCTCGGGGTCTGGACGCACTGATTGACTCCATCCGGGAGATGCGCTCTCAAAACTTCATCATCACTAAAATCACAGACGAAGTGCAAAAAGCAAAAAACGAGAAGATCGAGTCTCTCAGAGGTGAGTTGGTTTTTGCAGTGATCAAATGTGTGAAATGTTCTTTATCCACTCTTCTTTATTGTGTTCTCTGTCAATCAGCTGCGGGGGCTTCCAGTTCATCCTCTGACAGCAGCTTTAGCACTCTAACCACAACGACTGACCTCCCCAACACCTTTTCAAACAACTCCACCCTCCTGTTCCACCCAGACGGGGAGCGAAGCCCTTCCACTTCAGACCTCGCCAGCTCTCTCAACGTGTCTTTGTTACAGAAGTGCGGAGACTTGCCCTCTGTGGCCGGGGCCAGCCTCGGTGTGGCACCCTCCTCAAACTCCTCCAGCCTCCCCAGGCCGGGAGACCCTGGGGCTCCTCCGCTCCCAGACGAGATCATGGCAGAGTCGCCCTCCAACATAGACGCCACGTCGCCGGGATGCACCAGCAGTGGAGGAGATCCTAATTTCCAGCCTCTTCGGTCACGCTCGCTCACCCCAACATCACACATTCCTCAGTTCACTTCTCTGTAGGACACTTCTCATCCAGGGACAGACCATTTAATTCAATAAGCACACCCATTGTCTCTTCTTGTTACTTGTGCCTTTCACTGGCGGAACATGATGTACGTGAAACTATATGTTACCAATAGGCATGGGCCGCTGTGAGGTTCTCATCATGCTACTTACTCAAACATTTTGAAATTTATAACCTGATCTATGTACTTTGATGCAAACAAATAATTTTACCATCATATGCTGCTAAAATAATGTAATGTGTTGATGTTTTCTTCCTTATTTTGATTTTAATACATAATCTCTGAGATAGAATAAACACCTGCTAAAATTAGATGTAGTTTTCAAGTGCTTATGTTACACCTTTTTGCAATTTCCTCTTTCGTACAAGAGTGCAGTTTCAAATCATTTTTACTGTAAAGAGTGATTCCCCACCATGACCGGGCATGTTTTATTGCCACTGAGATCCTCTAAGAGCTGGCAAATCTGGCTTTTATTGCAAGCAGCCGTTCTTCAGCTGAAGGCAGTGAGCAGCAACAGGTGAGGGTGGGGAAACAAATCACTGCACTCACAGCCTGAGAAAACCTCAAACACTCAAACACTTTATCTGCTGTTAGATGAAAAGAATTTTGAATCAAAGGAGAAGTCTGATTTCAAACTTTTGACATGTCTTGATAGGATTCCTTTAGTTTTCACAGCTTACAGGGTTCCTACACAATCTGAAAACATATGCTTTCTGATCTCAGTATTTTCCAGGTCTAAAAAATTGTGGAAAAAGAAAATGTGGTATGGAAGAAAATGTGTATTTTCAGATTAAATTATCTTGTCTGTTTGTATTCCTCCTTTCTTTCTCCCTTCTGTATCTCCTTCATTCTTTCCTTTCTTCCTTATGTCCTGTTTTCCACCTTTCAAACTATCTCATTGAAATCATTCCTTGCTTTTAACCTTGTGTCCTGGTTTTCTCCCTCCTTCCTTTAAATAACTTCTTTCCTTCATTTCATCCTTGTGTTCTTCCTTCCCTCTTCCCTCACTTATCCCTCCTGCTTTATTTTCTTTTTTGTGTTCTTAACTCCCTCCGTCCCTCTCTTTTATCCCACTTTTTCACCTTTTTACATTCTTGTGTCCTGTCCTTTATTTCCTTTTTCTTTTTATCCTTCCGCTTTCTTCTTTTTCTTTTCTGTTTCCTCCCTCCCTCATTATATCCCTCCTCATTTTTTTCCTTCCAGCCCTGTGTCCTACCTTCCCTTAACGCTTCTACTTTCTTTCGTTTCTTTCCTGTATTTCTTCTCTCCCTATTCCCTTCCTTTTTCCTCATGTCATAATGGAGTTACTCCCTAACTCCATTATCTCATTCTTCCTTTCTTTATTTCTTCCTTGAACCTTAGCGACTTTTGGCTTTACTCAGTTACCAAAATCTCAGCTTGCTCCTGTTGTTTCTGTGGCAGTCAGACAAAAGAATTTTATTTGCAATGTAGGAATGGTATGATGGGAACTTTTAGCATTTTTGCAAACTAACTTTTCTAAATAGAAACAAATTTTTATAGCAGTACATGGCCCATGCCTAGACATAACTACTCTTGTCGATGTTTTCATAATGAAAATGAAGGTATTTAGCCTCATAATGTGTGTGTATTTTGGACTCTGGCGCAACAAAATATTTTTTTAGTATACATATATTTAAATGTTTTAACACAAAAAGATATGTAAATGTGTTGTCCAAATGAATTGTACTACTGAAAAATAACAAATTATATATTGCAACCAGAGAAAATGTTCCAACTGCAAACTTTTATTTTGCAATGGTTCCAATTAACATCATGTCATAAATTCCACCCTTTATGTAAAAATCGCAGAAAATCTGAGTCACCAATAGAAGCCTGGTCTACTTTTTCTTCTCATATTTGAGGTGTGATTTCTTCAGAAATTGTTGGGTGTGAAAACATGGCAGCTGCAGTTTAGTTGATGGAAGAGGTGTTTCCTGTTGTTTCTGTGCATTACTGCAAGTGAACAAGAATTTATGTCACAGTATCTTCACTACAAGTCTACAGTCATAAAACACAATGTGAATGATTAATATCCTTCTTTCTTGCAGATCTTTGCATATGACTTGTATTTGTTGTATCCTAAATATTTCAAAGGATCAGATAGTGTTTTTTTTTTCTTTGAATATGTGGTTTATAAGGCAGCTGTGTGGCAGACAGTGGCAGTTTTTGCATTTTGGTGATTTATGGGCTGAAGAAGTAGGAACACTTCTTCATTTAATGGTAGAAATATATAGAAATAAGTCACAACTGCACAGGAACATGGCCATTCATGGGATAAAAACTATGAAACAAAACAAAAAGAAAAAATACATGGCTAATCAGAAACATTAAGACTTAATCCTTATATTTTGGTTTTATGCTTTACCTACAGTGAGGTGGCCCTAATGTCAAGAAAACAAAGGCAATTGTTATGTGTGCGTGTGTTTCTTTACAATTAAAGGTTTGACAAATATAACATGGTGTTCCAATTTCTCCAACCTGTACTTGGTTAGTTTCTGGTTGTGCTGCGTTTGACACTGGAAACTTTTTTTTTCTGTTGTGAAAAAACTGGAACAACACAGAGGAATGACAGTCACTGCGGTGAAGACTGCTGTGACGCACTGTAACAAGCTGCTTTTTAAAAATCACACACTGGGTGGATGATTGCTCTGGATCGCTGGTTCTCATCAGGTATTGCAGGTCAACTTTATGTTTTTATTTCAATTATCCTGTAGACATGTTAAAAATATTCGATAGATAATTTACTGTCACTGGCAGAAATACATAGAAATAAGTCCCAACTGCAAGCTTTATTGGTTTTCATAGCTTTTAATATTTTTTGCTTGTTGTAACAAGTTTTAAGCCAAATGTACATTTGCCAGTAAGATTATAAATCAAATTTTTTAAAGCTTTTAAAATTTGTTCTTTGGCTTTCTCCTTTGAGTTTCTGTCTATACTGTAATGGTCCACCATGACACTAAATTACACATAAATCATGTGTAATTATGTTTATAGTATATGTTTATGTTTATAGCATATGTTAAATGTTCTTACGAAGAAACAAAAACCTTCAGCCAAGACAAAAACATGTAGCAAAACCAGTTAGATAAACATCAGATTGACTGGAATGGCTGAACAGGGTTCCTTAAAATTTACAGTGCACTCTGTGCTTTGCGGACGACTTCTCTTGTTTATCTGGTGCTCTCCAGTTTCATGGAGGAATCTGAGCAGCTGTTGACCCAGAGGTCAGAGGAGAAGATTCCCAACGGACACTGCAGATGGAGCACTCGCTCCCTGGATTCAAAGGCGGTGGAGGATTTCAGGAGGAGGCTGAAGTACTTTTTTATGAATCCGTGCGAGAAGTATAGAGCCAGGGGTCGGAAACCATGGAAACTCATGTTGCAAATATTGAAAATTGTCATCATCACAGCACAGGTGGTGTAACACATTTTCTAGTTTTGTTGTTTTATTCAACTGGCATAGATTTGTTGCTCATCTTACTGTCTCATTGTTACAGCTGGTCTTCTTTGGCCTGAGCAATGAAATGATGGCGAAATTCAAAGAGGACAATGTAATGACATTTGAACATCTGTTCCTGAAAGGATTCAAGGACCACTGGCAGGGAAACTACTCTCTTTATACTAAAGCCGAGCTGTATGATCATATCTACCACATCATCAACACGGTACAGGAATATGAAAGAATGCTTGAGTTTTTTATAACGTTGTATTAACATTGTGTTCCTCTCCTTTTTTCAGTACACCAATCTTCAGAACCTGACTTTAGGAAATCTTGCATATGGGAAGATTGATGGCAAGTACACCCCGCTGTCCATCTGTCAGCTGCTTTACAAAAACAGCACAATTGATCCTGAGAGAGACACCTTCTACATCGATCCACACATTGATGAAGGTACATGCTGCAGAGTCAGGTCTTTATGAAGACATTTAGAACCTTGAAGAATTATTCTAACCAGTGCACTGTTTTTTTTTACACAACAATCACAAGTGCAGAGTATTTTGCAGTAATTTAATATGGCATACCAATTGCTGTATAAAGTAGAAAGTAATTTGAAAAGTCGGAGTAGCATGATAGACAGTTTCAAAAATTATTTCTATGAAAAGCTGGAAAGTGTTGCATGCATTTGTAATGTTATTTCAGCCCTAATCTTGGCAAAAATAATTCAAGCTTGAACAACAATTTTCAAGCTTTTTCCCAGACAGAAGTCTAAATTGAAGTCTGGACTTTGTTTAGGACATTCTAGCACATACATATATAGTGGTTTTCAGTAGTCTGTTGTTTTCTAATGCTTCTGTTTTCTGTGTCCCTAACAAGACTTATAACAAACATCAAAAGGCTTGATTTTATTAATCAGCTTTCTATTTGCCAATCTCCCTTAAAGGTTAGGCATGTGGAGTCTTTTTATAAAATCTGACTCAAAGTCAAGACTGGAAAATAATCATAATGTGGCGCTTCATGTGACATAAAAAGAGGAAATAACATATTTAGTTAAATTAGTGTTGAATTCTTATCCCTATTCCACTGCTGTGCCTGCTAATGACATCTTTAAACACATTTTTCTTCCCCTTTAGAGTGTATTTCCATATTCTCGCCGACATCTCTTAACAATACTAATCTGGAAAAAAACATCAACTTCTCTGTAGATTTCAAAAGGTAGGAAACTCAAAGCTGATGTTAAACCAGCTGACAGCAGTGATGTCTGCTGATTGCATGTCTGTGTGTTCAGGCTCGTGTCAATTAACATCAACTTCACTCTGAAAACCATCAATCTGCAGACCGTGCGGCACAATGAGCTACCAGACTGCTACGGCTTCCACATAAAGGTTTGCAAGAACATCTGATAACTGAAATACTATCATAAAGGAAATGTTAGGACCAATCTACAGACAAAGCAATAAATTTAGCATTTACCTTATTTCTTAAAAATCTTCTTAAAACCTTCATCACTTTTTAACACTTTTGAGTATTTTATATTTGCATTTTATGAATTGATTGAATTAGTGAATTAATTAAAACTTTAATTAGCCTGTCCCATACATTGGAAGTCCATCAAATTTTTCAGTATGTTTTCTCACACACAGATCCTATTTGATAACTGTGCACACAGTGGAAAGATAAAAGTGGGTGTCAAAAATGATGTTCAAATTCATGAGTGCAAAGACTATAACGTGAGAGACGCCTGTAAGTTTTTACCCACAACTCATGAAATAAAATGTTTACATTGCTTATTTAGGATGCAGAATAATACATAAAGTAGGAATACATTTCCTGAAAACTGTCGCTCTGGTTTTGCAGCTGGGAAAATTGATTATCTCGACTTGATGTTTGATTCCTTGGTCATCTTTGCCTGTTTTGCCTCCCTCATTCTCTGCATGCGTTCTATTGTCAAGGGCATTCAACTCCAGTTTGTAAGTTAAAGAAAGTTAATGTACCTGCAATGTTTGCTGCTGTAAAGCTCAATGCTTGTATTATTTGAAGAAAATTCACAGTTAAAATCCCAGCAACACATTTATACTGTGTCCCTGTGTTTTTATTAGTAGGGAGGATGGTAAGACAGATTGAATAAATGAGTCTTATTTATACACAAAGAAACACATGGACAACTAATTAAAATTTATAGACAGTCTGATTAATCTGAAAAGATAAATAATAATATCCAAAAATACTTTTGTTGTATATCTTTTATAGGAATTGGTAAGGGTAGTAGTAAGTGCACCACAATTTTTTTATATTTTTACTAGAATCTGCAGTAAGTTTTGAGGGCATTGTATTAGGTTGAAAGACAAGCTCATTGGAAAAAAAAATTCCATTAATATTTTTTTTATTTCTAACAGTGTAACAGTGTGCTGTTTTCTTGCATCCAGGAGTTCAAAATTTTCTTCCAAATCCACTTCAATAAATTGGTGACTTGGTCAGAACGCCTGGAGTTTGTGAATGGCTGGTATATATTTATTAACATCAGTGACACGCTAACCATCATTGGGTCAGTGATAAAAATAGGAATACAAACCAAGGTTTGCATGAATTTTACAATGAGCATTTGTTAGAAACTTTCAAAGAGGGGGTCACAAACCTTTAATGCAAGTTTTCACTTTATAGTTCCTAACCAACTATGATGTCTGCAGCATCTTACTTGGAACAGCCACCATGCTGGTATGGATTGGTGTTATTCGCTACCTTGGTTATTTCAAGAAGTACAACGTAAGAGCCTTCTCCTCAGTTCTGGATAATATATTCTGTCCAGAGGACCTAAAACAACTCACTTCCGTTCAGATCCTTATCCTAACCCTGAGGGCTGCCTTTCCTAATGTTATCCGGTTTTGCTGTTGCGCTGCCATGATCTACCTCGGGTATTGCTTCTGTGGTTGGATTGTTCTTGGACCTTATCATGACAAGGTAGGAATAATTCACTTTATGGATCTGACCTTAATTAATCACCAGATTATTATCCAAAAACTATTTTATTGTTTTTATTTTTCAGTTTCGAACATTTGACAAAGTGACAGAGTGCCTCTTCTCTCTCATTAACGGAGACGACATATTTGCCACTTTCCTTAATATGAGAGACAAGAGCTACATGGTGTGGCTTTTCAGCAGAATCTATCTGTACACCTTCACATCTCTCTTCATCTTCATGGTGCTCAGCCTGTTCATCGCCCTCATCACAGACACCTACGAAACCATCAAAGTCCGTTTCTGCTGATATTTTGTAAATAGATTGTTAGTGTACAATGATATTAAGTTCTTCTATAATTAATGTGACATGCTCCTGTTTTTTCTTTTTCTTTTTTGTTAGCATCACCAGAAAGACAGCGAACCAGTGTCCCTGCTTCATGCCTTCATAGCAGAATGCCAGGCTCAGCCTGAATCTGGACATTATCAATATGATGAGGAGTCTTCAAGCTGCTGTTTCTCTCTAGGAGGCTGGTTTCAAAGAATTGAAAGGATGTAAAGATAACTTTGAGGACAAAGTTGTTGCATATAAATGTATTTGGCAGCAGCCGGAGATAAAAGTGTCTAAAGATCTTTTTCAAACTGACCTATATGATAGTGTAATGCAAAAGAAAAGTTGTTAGATTAGCCACAGCTTCCTAATTTAGTTGCACAAAGACCTGTTTAGAAACCAGTACAATAACGTATTGTAAAAGGATGCTTGTCGGTCTTTGCCGTGTTTAAAAATAAAAGGTATTCTGTATTTTAGTCATAGGTTTTGGGGTTGTTCAAATTCATGTTTGAGTCAATGTTGACTGCTGTTTTATTCAGCACTATGTTGCCTTTAACTTCATCAAGTCTAGTTAGCAGACTTCTAACAACTTTTTTGGGACCACAAACGACATCAGGGAACTTTGATCCAACCCTTCATAGATATTTTCAACATTTATACTGTGTCCCTGTGGAAAGATATTGCAAGATATGTTTTAATATTCCATAGTTCAAGGTATTATATAGGTATTGAAGAAAAGTGCCCTGAGAATGGAGCATAGAGGAACTTCGTGTGGTCTTTGTTTTCTCTAATTCATAATTACCATGTCTCTCAAGGCATTTTCTTAGCATCTTTCACTGGGCATAAGATGGTATAACCACTTTCCTCCATAGTTTGATTGGGTCCTAGTTATATATATAAATAATGCGTATGCATTTATTAATCTGTGTCATTTTGTGCAGTGCACACACAAAATGTGAGATTTGCCCCATCACCACAAGGGAGCATTGCAGTTCTCAGAACCACACATAGGGATTGAATGGAGATCATCCCTCCATCTATTGTCTGTACCTGCTTATACACGCAGTATTACAGGCTGGGCTTCATTTAGTGACCCAAATGTACTGAAAATAGTAAATATTATGTGCTAGATATAAATCTTTTATACTATATATAAGGTGGTTTAGATATAAAGACTACGTCTAAAACTATGTCTATATAGCCCACATATATTGTATGGGGCTTCTTTGAAGCACCAGATTGTTCGTGAATGTTTGTCATATATTATACAATACAGCGTTACACCAAAGGTGGCGACTGCGTGCTGTCGCCACTAGGGGGCATTGCTGTACATTTCTTCTTTAGACACCTGACAGCATTTTCATCTGCATAACCATTCACCGCCGCACATGTTTGTCCAATGTACGTCTTGCACACTGGTTGCTTAACTACGTTTCCTCCAATAAGAAAGCAGTTTAGTTGGACGACATCAAAACGACAGTCTTCAAAAGAGAGAGAGAAAAAAAAACACAGCTGCTGCAGAAGGCATAGTGGAACCTGTCGGTTGTTATCTCCCGTTGACTGATTTAAGGTAGTGTTTGTATGTTGTTTAACGCTTCTATCAAACTGCAGACTGAACTCGGTTTTAAAGCTGCAGTTTTTTTTTTAACGCAATAGGGTCTCAGTAATCAAAGCCTCACCACCAAACTTGGGGAGGTTAGTTGACCTATTTCTCGCCCTACATGAATGATTGTGTTTATGATATTAGCAACGAGCGAACAATCGAACTTGTTGAAAGAGGGACGTTAGCTACCGGTTCAGGGTGTAAAATCACAATAATACATCACAACCGCTTGGCCAACTCAAATCTAAAGTTATCTGAAATGACGCTATTGTTTTTATTTATTAATAGCCTTGCTAACTCGTCACTGTTAAACGACTACACGTGTTTAAGTCGTAGTTTAGTCAAGTTAACTGGCCGTGTTACGTTTTGTCACCCACTGTGTTATCTCTGAAGATAAAGTTCTGTGTATGTGTGTGTTTTCTGTCTCAGCTTGATAAGAAAGCAAGTTGTTTGAGCAGTACTTGTGCGCATACACTATTATCAGCCAATTTTCCTTGCGTTCCTGAACACCAAAGCAAGTTTTCTCGTTTGTTCAGACTCACACATTGTTCATTGTCGCTGTAAACCAATGGAAGTGGCTGTGGTCGTATCTCTCTGGCTCATCCTCAATTTCCATTGGATTTTATTTCTGTAATTATTACCCCGAAGGTCTAAAGGTTTCATGTCAATTCAAAATGATTTTAAAAATAACTCGCGTGTTCCACTTCTGACTTGTCTACTGATTAAGCATAACTAAAACCACTGATAGAGAAACGAAGAACTGATTATCTCTCCAGCATGACTCCTGTTAGTGGGTGGGATGCAAAGACAGCAAGTAAACATGATCTCAACTTTGTGTTGTTGTTTTGCGTGATTGGAGCTTTGAGAGTTTTCTGCTTCCAGTTCTTCAGTGCTGAGCTTACAAAAACTAAGTAAACAGGTCTGGTTGATTATTGTCTAGGCTCAAGATTATTATTTTTTTGGACCATTATTAAGATTTTACTTTTTGTTATGCATGCTTTGCTTATCTGCGTAACACGGATAAGCAATGGCATGTTGATGTACATGCCATAGTACATCAACCAAGATGTAATATTGCAGAAAGACTAAGCCAGCAGAAGCAGTGTGACATTTTGGTTCAGGTTTTGCAAGAAAACCTTGAGATGTTCCAGAGAATGTTAGAATACATGTATGGATGCTTGCATATTGTGACAGATACATTATTAATAGTTAATATATTTGATAAAATATTCAAAATAATAAATATTTACCGAGCTCTGATCAAGAGATGCACCAGATTCTGGGAGATGTAGGCAGAGGAAAAGCTTTGGCTAAACGAGAAGAGTGGCATCAACTAAATCACTGTCTTTGGTAACCAAGCAACAACCTGAAAGTTGGGTAACTTTTGCAGCAGGAGGTTGAGGTTTTGCTATCATGGTTCTTTCATAACTTCTTAAAAATAGGAAGTGGCATGGAGTGAAAATTGTGGATAAAACAGGAAAGGTAGGTGTGGCAGTATTTCAGATATTTAAAACGAACAAAACAACAAAACTGAGTAATTATCCATCAACAATTGGTGACATTGTCCTGCCCTGTGTACTTTGACATGTTCCATCTACCTAAGCAAACTGCAGATGGTCTCTCATGGAAACTGTATTCTGTGATGGTTGTGGCCTTGTTGGACTTTGTCATGTGCACAGAGAAGAATGTGCATACTTTTGCACAAAGAAATTGTTGTTCAGGAATGCTTAGAGGAGCACAAAGAGTTTGATCTCTTGACTTGGCCTCTCATTTTCCCTCATTTTATTTGAGCACCTGTGGGACATTGTGAACAAATAGAGCCCATCTTACAAGTTGGATGACTTAAAGCACAGGCGTCGAACTCCAGTCCTGGAGGGCCACTGGCCTGAAACTTTTAGTTGTGGCTCTGCTGCACCACACCTGAATAGAATAATTAGGTCATTAGCAAGGCTCTGGAGAACTGATCTACACAAGAAGAAGGTAATCAGGCCATTTCATTCCAGTTTTTTGTACCTGTGGCACATTTAAAAACTGCAGGCTAGTGGCCCTTGATGACTGGAATTTGACATCCCGGACTTAAAGGATCTACTGCTAACTGTTACTGTAAACCAGTGGGAGTAGTTGTGGTCACATTCCCCCACTTCTTGAGGCTCTTTTGGCAACTACAGATCAACACTGTCGGGCAAGTGGTTTTGCGTGATTGGTGCATTATTCTTTCTAGACCCCCTCTTGAGAATAAAATCAACCTATCCCTTTGCGATTTAAATAACAAGGCCTGACATGAGATTGTACTCCAATCTCAGTATAAAACCCCCTTCCAGGGAAATCTGTCAGATAATCCTGTGTGGCTGAAGCATCAGCACAGATTATTGCTGGTCCGTCTCATGGTTTGAAGCTGTTTTCCAGGGCTCTGGTCCAGTGAGATCTTTTGATCGACTACCTGACTGCTCATCTATCTCAGTGCTGATAACTCATGACCTCACGTTCTGGGGTCCCAACATTTCTATGCAATGGAGGAGTGGAGGGCAACTAATACATATATGGGTAAGTTTCTTCAATGTGCTGCAGTATTTCAGGAATAGACAGGCCCATTTGCCTGTTCTTTTTTTAGTGATCTGCTTTAGGTGACCTACATTTTTGTTCTTATTTATAGAATCAACCCAGTTGATAGGAGAAGGCACAATAGATGCAGTGTACGAATAATTTCTATGTTTTCTCTCTGTTTTCAGAAGACCCTGAGATCTCGAGCATATCACATGTGACGATGTCTCCCTTGAGACATAATCATGTGCCGGTGTACTCTTTGCCCTTGTCCAGAAGCTCCTACAGTGTAATAAGTGCCTTTTGCACTGAAGATAATGTTCCTCAGAGCATTTCTTACCTAAATCAGGTATGAAAATGTCAAGTTTCAATGTGTTTTTTGATTAAGGTTCAGTTAACATTAAGATCCCACAAAGAGGGAATTTCTTATTTTCAAGGTGACAAACCAGTTTCACAATTTAAAAGAAAGTAACAAAATGTTTTATTTATTTATTTTTTAAATCTGGTAGATGGGCTAAGACCTAACACACTTCATTACCAATAAAAGGCAAAAGTAAGCCATTGCATATTTTCACACAGTATTTAGGAATATATATAAATTTCATCAGACCTTTTAAATGGTATTGGGGCTCAAAAAACTTGAAATACAAGTCCTATGGAAAATGTTTTGCAATAAACCACAAATATCTTTTTTTTTTTTTTTTTTTTGGGCTGCTTAAAGAAAATCCACTTTAGATGTCTATATATAGTTGCAATAGTTGGGGAGTATGAATTTATGACATAATACAAGAGATGCTTAAACCTGCTTTCAAACAGCAAAGAAAACTGTAAAAATTTATTCTTTTGGATATTACTACTACTTTTTGGATGATTATTTAGAAATTTCTCAAAGTTTAGTTGAGGCCTCCCCATAAAGTTTACCTGTGAACACTAATTCATGAAACACAGGATGGATCGTTTAATGATTTTACATTAAAGAACTCGTTTATCTTTTCAGGAGCTTGCTGTGCTCGGTGTCTCCATGTGTATTGAGGCCAGCTCATCAGAGGGAGCGAGCCTAAAAGCGGTGCCAGTTCTAAGTGCCATGTATGAATTGCTCCAAATTCATAAACGAAATATGAGCACTTTAGAGGAGATGGAGAAAGAACATTTGAAGAAGCTGAGCACCTTGGAGCATATTCAGCTAAGCAATTCCAGACTGAAGGCAAGTATGTATGGAACCTCCATTAATTTGACCTTTTACATGTGCATACACAGATTTGAAATGACTTGTAATTATTCACAATCTGTCACAACATGTAGATGGGTTAAACTTTGTTGGTTTT